TCCAAAATTTTGTTGCCTACATTTTCTTCTAGAATTTTTATGGATTCACGGGTCACATTTAAGTCTTTTATCCATTTCGAGTTTATTTTTGTGTATGGTGTAAGTTGATGGTCTAGTTTCATTTTTTTGCATGTAGCTGTCCAATTTTCCCAACACCATTTATTAAAGAGGCTGTCTTTACTCCACTGTATGCTCTTGCCACCTTTGTCAAATATTCAATTTGTACTTCTTAATCCCTTCACCTTTTACACCCATTCCCCCAACCCCCCTCCCATCTGGCAACCAACAAAATGTTCTCTGTATCTATGAGAATGTGTCTGTTCTGCCTGTTCATTTTGTTTGTAGATTCAATTGTCGATAGATATGTATTCATTGCCATTTTGTTTGTTCATATAGTTTATCTTTTTCTTCAAGAAGACCGTGCATCATTTCATATAATAATGGTTTGGTGGTGATGAACTCCTTTAACTTTGTCTTGTCTGGGACACTCTTTATATGGCCATAGATGATAAATAATGGCTTTCTGGATAGAGTAATCTTAGTTGTAGGTTCTTGCTTTTCATCACTCTGAATATTTCTTGCTACTCCCTTCTGGCCTGCAAAGTTTTTTTTTGAGAAATCAGCTGACAGTCTTATGGGAACTAACTGCTTTTCTCTTGCTGCTTTTTTAAGATTTTCTCTTTGTCTTGAACCTTTTGCATTTTGATGATGATGTGTCTTGGTGTGGGCCTCTTGGGGTTCATCTTGTTTGGGACTCTCTGTGCTTCCTGGACTTGTATGTCTGTTTCCTTCACCAAGTTAGTGAAGTTTTCTGCCATTATTGTTCCAAATAGGTTTTCGATTTCTTGTTCTCTCTCTTCTCCTTCTGGCACCCCCAAGATGCGAATATTGGTATGCTTGAAGTTGTCCCAGAGGCTCCTTACACGATCCTCATTTTTTTGTATTCTTTTTTCTTTTTGCTGTTCTGATTGGGTGTTTTTTGCTACCTTATATTCCAAATCAATGTTTTGCTTCTTGGCTTTACCTACTCTACTGTTGAGTCTGTGTAAATTATTCTTTATTTCAGTTAGTGCCTCCTTCATTTCTGACTCTGCCTCCTTCATTTCTGACTGCTCCTTTTTTATGCTCTTGAGGCCCTCACTAAGTTCACTGAGGTTCCAACTAAGTTCATTGAGCACCCTTATAAGCAGTGTTTTGAATTCAGCATCTGATAGGTTGCTTATCTCCATTTCACTTAGTTCTTTTCCTGGGTTTTATTCTGTTCTTTCATTTGGGACCTGTTACTTTGTCTCCTCATTTTGGCTGTCTCCCTGTGTTTGCTTCTGTGTATTACTTAACGAGAGGTATGGGGCTAGCTGAGACCAGATGCTGCTTATTTGAAGGAATTTAGGAAAACCTGAAGCAGGATCCAAGACAGGCCAATCCTATGGTAAAGCAACTGGCAACAGCTTGGGTGGGCCTGAAAGTTGGGTGGGGCAGGGCCTCAGGGAATCACCAGGGTGAGCAAACAGTGTGAGCCAGGTTGCTGGAGTCCCAGACATGGCGGCCATCTGCCGCCCCAGGGCAGGACTCACCAAAGGGACAAAGGCCTCTGACAGCACACTTGTCCCGGAGAAAGCCCCCTCTCCAGCCCTCCCTCCAATACCAAACAGCTCAGTTCTTCCTTGTATGTCTCTGGCGCCCCTCAAGCTGCCTCCCCTCCAAGCTTAGAGGGAGTGAGTCTGATAAGTCCGTGCGCGGGCCCTTTAAGAGGAGCTGCCTGAGGCTCCAGCTGCCTCAGCCTCCCTCAGCCTCAGTTCCCGCTGGTTTTTCAAGCCAGAAGTTATGGGGACTTCTCTTCCTGGCACTGGAACCCTGAGAGGGGCTCCTGATGTGGGATGGGGACCCCTCAGTCCTCAGGGAGGACCTTCCCAGTCGAGGTGTCCTGCTGATTTTTATCCGCCACATGTGGGTGTGGGATCAACCCCGCCGCCTCTGCCCCTCCTACCAGTCTCAATGTGGCTGTTTCTTTAATTCCATAGTTGTAGGACTTCCATTCAGCTCGATTTCAGGTGGTTTTGAATGATGGTTGTTCTATAGTTTAATTGTAACTTTGATGTGGTTGTGGGAGGACGTGATGCCACATTTACCTATGCCGCCACCTTGACCGAAGTTCAGTTTTTTTAGTTTCAGCTTTAGTGAAATATAATTGACAAATAAAAGTGTAAAATATATATACACACATACATATGTGTATATATATATACATATATATGTATACATACACATGAATATATATATATATTTGTTGTTAATCCTCACCTGAGGATATTTTTTCCACTGATTTTTAGAGAGAGTGGAATGAAGGGAGTGAGGGAGGGGGAGTGGGAGAAACATTGATGTGAGAGAGACACATTGATTGGTTGCCTCCTGCACACACTCCCCCCTCCCTAAGCTGGGGACTGAACCTGCAATCCAGGTAATGTGCTCTTGACTGGGAATTAAACCTGAAACCCTCCAGCACATGGGCTGACACTCTAACCACTGAACAACGCTGGCCAAAGCAAAAGGGTAAAATATTTAAATTTTTTTTCCTTTATTGATTTTAGAGAGAGGAAGGGAGAGAAAGATAGAAACAGAAACATCGATGAGAGAGAACATCAACTGGCCGCCTCCTGCATGTACCCCACTAGGGATCTGGCCCATGACCTGGGCATGTGCCCTGACCGGGAATTGAACACGCAACTTCTTGATGCATGGGTTGACGCTGAACCACTGAGCCACACTGGTGGGGCAAAAAGTGTAAAATATTTAAAATGCACCGTTGTGGTGATGGGATATACATTGCAAAAGGATTTCCCCCATCTGGTTAATCAATATATCCATCACTTCACATATTTATCGTTTTTTTCTTTCTGGTGAGAACATTTAAGATCCACTCTTTTAGCAATTATACAACACAGTGTTATCAAATATAGTCACCATTTTTTACATTAGATCCTCAGACATTTTTCTTATTGCTGAAAGTTTGTTCTTAGAGTAGATTCTATATTTTATGCCTAACCCCCATGGTCCTGGGCCCGATGATTTGTACACGACAGTCAATCAGTGCTTGGTGAATAAATGAATGTATACATAAGTGAATTAATAAATAGAGCTAACCAAATTTCATATTTCTGTTATCCCAAGATTAAAGAGAAAGTTCTTCAGTAATTGCCGTTATCGCCTACTCTTCTTTACGCCAGTTAATGTCTATTTCAAATAGCTATCAAGATCCCATACCACTTTCTTTGAAGAAAATTCAAAGTAGGGATTTCAATTTGTTTGCTCTACAAATAATATTTTTTTCAAGTTTAAGCCTTCAAATTGGGAAGAAGCTCTTGAATCTCCTTTGATGTGAGGGTGAAAATGGGGAGATAAGAAAAGAGAAAAAAGTGTGGGAAAATACTTCCTGAGCAAACAAAACAGGAGGAGGATCTAATACCTTTAAAAAGCCAGCCAAGTATGCATAACTACTTTTGCCTCTTGAAGAGGAAAAACAAAGCAAATCTGACTTAAATGAATGAAAGATCTGGCAATCAAAAGCAATCCAGGTATTTTATAAATACATATACCCAAATAATTGTTTCTAAATGACCATTAAAATTAGTAATATTTCACCACATGTATTCAACTTCATAAAGATATTTTTCATGTGGATTGCCATTCACTGGTCTCTTTAAGAAAAAAAAATCAGACTAAACAGGGTCAATCCAAGTCCAGAGGATTCCACTACAGACTAGACAAAATAAATCTTGTAGGATAATGTACAAGGAGCTGGTACACAGTCTATCAATGATGATGTTGCTTACTGATAATGAGCTCACTGATGACTGTCAGCTGAGATCTGATTATCAGTGCTGCCCCTGCTTATCACACAACACTGGGCAAAGAATATAACCTTTCTATCCTAAGTCAGTCATCTGCAAATGTTGATAATATATGAGTGTTCATGTGAATTCATCAGTTAACATTTTCAAGAACTTGGGAAATGAGCAATGCTCCAACTATTAGTGAGTCACAATAATGACTTCATGCCATTCCAGACTCTTCATCAATGCTGAATGAAGTGCAACCAGGTAAATCAATATAATAGTCAAACAAAGTCCTACAATAGTGATCACCCCTTCATTGGGCTATTAAGGTAAAGAAGACAGTTACAGGAGCAGGCAGTCCTATGGTGATATAACTGAGAGATGTAGCTTACTTAAAGAGAGAGCTTCCACTGGTGAAACTTCAACATAATTAATTTATAGAGTGCCTACTATGCACAATAAACATCTTGAAGTTGAGAGAAACCAAATTTTCTCATCAAGGTTTGTAGAACCTAGGTTAGCTATGGCTAGCAAAGGCAGTTATCCTTATGGAAGAGAGATTTAATTTTTTTAAAAGTCCATTTAAGTCATTCTCCAACTTTAGCCTGATTTCATGGATAATTTGAAATAATTCAGCAACTATGCTGGAGGTCAGCTGAGATAAATACAATTATTAACATCTCATGAAATGTAGTTAGATAGTTCTGCATTTAAGATGATCTAGCTGACACTCCAGCCCAGTAATTATAATACTATTTGGATTAACATTGTCAACAATCAGAATGTATGTGTGTGGGAATAAAGGTACAGTGGCAGCACCACTACCAAGCAGATGTCACAAAAAAAGGATACTATTGATCATAAAAAACAAACAAACACAAAAACAATTATATTCTCTATTGAGGGAGACTTACTTAAGGTTCCAGGGTACAACATTTTTCTTTCTTTCTTTTTTGTTTTTGGTAGATATGCTTTGAGGGAATATTATTATGCACACAAATATACCACACTATTTGTATATACACTCATTCTAAGTCACTTTTCCAGTCTATTTGGCTGAATGAGGCCAAAGAGATGAAATAATAGGCACTATACCAGTCGTATTTAAAAGCCCAAAAGCTTTCACTTGAATCACCAAAGACTGTATAAAATCATATACCTACGTACATTGGAATCACTAAAGATTTCTGATTCTTCACATTCACAGCAAAGTAATGCTGCTGATTCACTGTCTTCCAAATGAGAGCTCTGTAATACAAATAAGATCGTTTCAGAGATCCAGACGAATGGGCCAACAAGCATAACGGAAAAAGCCAGCAGAAATCACTGAGTCAGTGTTAGTTCATAGGTGAGGAATTGCAATTCTGATTAGCAATCACTATTTTGGAAAGAAAAAGCCAACAGGTGAGTGGAAAGTTGATTGAGTATGTTGGATTAGCTGAAGCATTTCTGTGGTTTCCAATTTAGGCTATGGGATATTCTTTTTCTGTAAAGATGGTGCTACTAACTCTTCATAGTATGTACTCAGAACTCTTCCCAGAATGGGTAGAATTGTGTTCATTTGTCTTTATATTCAAAGGTACATATTTGATATGACTGTTTAGAGCAGTGGTTCTCAACCTTCCTAATGCCACAAGCCTTTAATACAGTTCCTCATGTTGTATGTGGGTGTATCTGCATGTGGGTGGACCCACCTGGAGACAGAGGAACAGTGTCTCTGTTCCTAAGACCATCGGAAATATGTGTTTTCCAATGGTCTTAGGCGACCCCTGTGAAAGGGTCGTTCGACCCCCAAAGGGGTCACAACCCACAGGTTGAAAACCCCTGGTTTAGAGACAGGCTTTAAAATATATTATAGTACACTATTGGGGGATCTAACCACTAGCCTGGCCTCATTAGCCCTCTGCTAACAAGTGTTTATAAGAAGAGCCAAAGACATGCCCTATTCAAGTCTCCCTGACAAAAACAACTTAAAACCTTTCTTCCACTCTCCAATCTCTTTTTCAAAATCTATCTGGAAGACTGATAAGGAAAACAGGACAATGGAGTGAAACAATTAGCTGGTAACACGAGTATTTTTCCCTTATGACTAACAATGCCACAAAAAAGAGACAAGAAAAAGCTCCAACTGTGATCCAATAAGTCCCATTCAAATGCTTGCTGTTTAGGTAACAATGGCTAGAAACCCAGCTATCCCTATATAAAGATGTATATGCTTATGTCATCAAAATTTCTCACTACCACATGATCCAGTAATCTCACTTCTGGGTTTGAATCCAAAAGCACTGAAATAGGATCTCAAAGAGACATCTGCACTCCCAGATTCAGTGCAGCATTTTTCACAAGAGCCAAGACATGGAAACAACCCAAATGTTTATTGACAGACAAATGGATAAAGAAAATGTGGTATACACATACAATAGAATATTATTCAGCCTTAAAAAAAAAAAAAAAGAAAGAAGGTAGTCCTGCCATATGAAATAACATGGATGATCCAGGAGGAAATTATGCTAAGTGAAATTACAAAACCAGTCACAGAAGGACAAACAGTGTATGATTCCATTTATTTGAGGTATTCAAAATAATCAAACTCATAGTAGCAGAGTAGAATAGTGGTTGCAGGGGCTGAGAGTGATGAGAAAATAGGGAGTTGTTGTTTAATGTGTATAAATTTTCAGTTATACAAGACGAATACATTCCAGAGATCTGCTTTACAACATAGTCCCTACTGTTAACAACACTCTATTGTGCATTTAAAATTTATGTTAAGCTAGATCTCATGTTAAATGTGCTTACCACAAAACAAATAAAAAAACCCAAAGGGGTACAAGGAAACTTTTGGAAGTGATAGATGTGTTTATTACCTTGATTATAGCAATGGCTTCACAGGTGTATGAGTATGCCCAAATTCATCAAATTGAATACATTAACTATGTGCAGTTTTTTTGTATATCATTTATATCTCAATAAAGCAGTTAAACAAAAAACAAAAACTCACTACCAGTGGCTGAAACTTAATAATGTATAACACCTTTGTGGCTATCCTAGTTGACTCCTACTTTGATTTTTCAAAGCTGAGACTGTGTTTCAACATGCAGAATACCTGGAGATATTAACAGCTTAACAGTGCAGCTCTGGCCAGTTTGGCTCAGCGGTTAGAGCATCGGCCTGTGGACCAAAATGTCTCGGGTTCAATTCTCATTCAAAGGCAAGTACATTGGTTGCAGGTTCAATCCCCAGCCCTGGTTGGGGTCATGCAGGAGGAAACCAATTGATGTGTCTCTCTTACATCAATGTTTCTCTCTCTCACTCTCTCTCCCCCTCCACTCAATCTGAAGATAAGTGGAAAAATATCTTCGGGTGAGGATTAAAAAAGAGCTTGAGAGTGCAAATAAACTAAAATGAAAGAAAGTAAAACTCAAAAGTATTTCTGGTAACTGCCTTTTACTAATTTATATCCTTTTTACTTTTTTTCTGACTGTGATTCTATGCCTACCTTTGTTTTTTCTTCTTAAACCAAGTCTCATCTCCCATGATCCCTCCTTCTTCCTCTTTTAGAAAAGAAACAGAAACAACCAAGTATTTAAAATCACCTTTTAAATCCTGCAAATGCATAGCCCCTTTATTCCTTATTCCCTTGCATTTTGGAGGGGGAAAGTAAGAATATTTGTGTTCCACTTGTCCTTTTTATAAAAATCAGCTAGAAAATACTTGAAGACTTCTACAAGTCACATTATAAAAGCTAAAGACTTAATAAATATCAAATATATTTGAAGATATTATAAGGTAGAAATCAAAGCTTCTTTCAATTCTCCCAAATTTTCCTATCACAAAATATGATAACATAGACCTCTGGCCGGTTTGGCTCAGTGGTTAGGGTGCTGGCCCATGGACCAAAGGGTCTCAGGTTTGATTCTTGGGTTTCAGGTTCGATTCCCAGCCCTGGTCGGCAACCAACTGAGGTGTTTCTCTCACACTGATATTTTTCTGTCTCTCTTTCTCTCCCCCTCCCTCCCTTCCACTCTATTTAAAAATCAATACAAAAATATCCTCCGGTTCAGATGAACAACAACAAGAAGAAAGATAATATAGATAATATTAAGCAGATCAAAAGTGATTTGTCACTGCCACAGTGTATACAAACTGAAGAGACAAGTACATGGTAATTAATCCAAATTACACTAGTTTAAAGTTTTTGTTCTTATAAATATTTCATGTTTACACTAGCTTTTTGAAAACGATCTTTCAACAAAGAGGTCCTATAATGACACTTGCATTCTTTTATTTTTAATCCTCACCTGAGGACATTTTTCCATTTTTTTGTTCAGGTAGAGTGGGAGGGAGAGAGAGGAACAGAGAGAGAGAAAGGAAAACATCGACGTGAAAGGGACACATCGAGTGGCTGCCACCCGCATGACCAACCAGGGCCAGGGACAAACTGCAACCGAGGTACGTGGTTAGCGGGAACCAAACCCGGGTCTCTCTGGACCGCAGGCCAACGCTCTAACTACTGAGCCAAACCAGCCAGGGCCGACACTAGCATTCTTATAGTTATTTTAAGACTTTACTGCGTACTTATTAATTGAAATTCAATTAATTAATATACAAGATATAAATTTAAGTATGCATTAAAAATAACTGCTTTTCTGGCCACCGTCTACCATTTATTAGTTTTACCTACACTAGTAGTTGTGTTCTTTCTGATCCAAGCTGTTTAAGAGTTACAGCTGGTCCAACTTCACTGGATCTTGATGTTAATGTTCAGAGGACTCTAGAAAAATTTTAATAATTTAAAAATAAACATAAAATAATAAAAATAACTGCTTCAGTCCTGGCCGGTTTGACTCAGTGGTTAGAGCGTCAGCCCATGGACCAGAGAGTCCCAGGTTTGGTTTCCGCTAAGGGCATGTACCTTGGTTGAGGTTTGTCCCGGCCCGGGTTGGGTTTGAGTGGGTGGCAACCAGTTGATGTGGTCCTCTTGCATCGATTTTTCTTTCTCTCTCTTCCTAGCTCTCTTCCTCCCGTTCTATCTGAAGATAAATGCAAAAATGTCCTTGGCTGAGGATAAGGAAAAAAAACAACACCACAAAATAACTGCTTCATGGAACAAGTATTTACTCACAACGAACATTTAGTTCTAAGTTAAATTTTAAGAATCCTAATGGAAGACCAAGGATATTTCAAGATCTTTCCTCTGCCTTCTGAGGTACTTGGTAATTCCGATTCCTGGAGTTGTTCCTGGGTTCTGCAGAATGAACTGTCTTGCTTATGACTATAAAGGGCTTAGTCCAAGAATTAATATTTAGGAACTCTATTAATATAATTTAGCATATTATTAAGAAAAACTGTAAGATTATCTAAGATGCTAAAATGTTGATGTGTCAAAATTTATGATAGAGATCTTAACCTAGACTGGAATCAGGAGGACCTGTGGGAGCAGCTGTCATACCCTATGTCCTCACAAAAGCCCTACAGGAAGAACTCTGTGTTTACAACAGAGCTCTATGGTTGTAACAGCCCCTTGCCTTAACTTCCTTTTTCCCTCTGTAGAAGGGGTTTCTGCTTCTTGCAGAGTGTGTGTGCATGGCTTGCCATGTCTGCACCTACAGGATTGCAATCCTTTCTTCCCACCCCCACCCCCCCCCCAGCCCCCAAAGAAATCCTTTTTGGTGAAGGAATATCTAGTTGACTTTTGTTTTATGGTCAACAGATAAAATTAACAGTCACTTTTGGTTTCAAACATTTTTAGTAAGCTAGGAATAGGTGGGCTTTTATATACAGTACTTCTCAGGTTAGTGGACCCTTACCTCAACCTGGTCTTGCCTGAATTTCATACTGTGAAAAGTCCTTCAGTGTTTGTTGTAGCATGAGGGTGGCAATCATCCTTAGTTTGTAGTACAGATATCAATTCTCTTTTCTTTCTCTTCTTTCCTGCCCTTCCTCCTTCCCTCCCTTCCTTTTTTCACGTCCTTTCAGCCACTGCAGTAGGAATTTTAAAGAGAATTAAGTTAAACTCATATTCCTGCTTTGAAAGTACCAAGCCTAAGTCTTTTTGTTGTTGTTGTTAATCCTCACCCAAGGATATGTTTTCCAGTGAAAAAAATTTTTTTGTGTTTAGAGAGAGTGGAAGGGAGAGAGGGGAAAAGAAGTAGAAGTGAGAGAAACACACTGATTGGTTGCTTCCCAAACAAGCCCTGACTGTGGTGGGGGATCGAACCTGCAACCCAGGTATATGCCCTTGACCAGGAATTGAACCTGTGACCTTTCAGTGTGCAGATTGATGCTCTAACCACTAAACCATACTAGCTAGGGCCCAAGCCCAAATCTTAACTAAACTAAATTGAGTTCATATTCTGGTCCTACCATCTACCAGTCATGTGATTTTGAACACATTACCTAAGCTCTCTGAGCTCAATTCCTCATCCATAAAAATAGATGCACAAAACTAGCATTTATCCAGTAGGGTCGTTGGGAAGGCTGTATGAAAGATAATATAACTAAAGCACTTAGTTCTCGTGACTTTTTGTAGCTGCCAATAAAAAAAGAAAGAAAAGCACTTAGCATGACTTAGCTACTGATGTTGCTACTACTACTGCTGCTTCTAACAACAATGATAATAAATGTTACTATAGTAATAATAACCTCCTCCTATATGTAAAAGAATTACACATTTGGGTTAAATTCTCTTTCTTTCTTTTTTTAAATCCTCACCGAAGGACATTTCTTCATTTATCCTCAGATAGAGTGAAAGGGAGGGAGAGAAAGAGAGAGAGAGAGAGAGAAACATTGGCTGCCCCCTGCACTACCCTGACCAGGGCCCAGGGCCCAGGGCTGGGGACCAAACTATAACCAAGGGCCCTGGCCGGTTTGGCTCAGCGGTTGGAGCGCCGGCCTGCGGGCCAGAGAGTGCTGGGTTTGGTTCCCGCTAGGGGCATGTACCAAAAAAAAATTAAAACAAACTACAACCAAGGTATGCGCCCTTGACCAGAATCGAACCCGCACCTCTTTGGTCCACAGGCTGACACTCTAACCGCTGAGCCAAACCGGCCAGGGCTAACTTCTCTTTCAAATAAATTTTGTCATCTAGGTAAATTTTGCTTTATTAAAATTTTAAGATTTTCATTTCCAAATAGAGACAAATTTGTATTCCCTATATAACCTTGAAGTACTGAGCCCACAGTGAGTCATTCATTATCATTTATTGTACCCCTACTATGTACTAAGCACTTTTCTGAGTGCTAAATTAGCTACAGTAAAACTCCAAACCAAAGGGAAAGATAACTGAACAGGTTCCAAAAATAGTGTTTTATTTTTGCTTTTTATGGATATCCAAAACCCACAAATATAAGGATATGGCTCTGTGACCTAGTATGCCCCTTTGGCCAAGTATTGTTTGGAAAAAAATATAGGCTAAGGTTGTTGGTAAGAAAAACACATCCATATATAACAAGAAGTTTCAAGAACAGCTTCTAAGAATCAATTACAGTAATAAAACAGTGCAATCTTTACATGAAATATATGGTACAAGGACTTGTACTAAGGATGTTTTGAAGAGTGTTAAAATCTAACTTGTTCAGTTACCTAACAATTAGCAAGCAGAAGTCTTAAGAAATAATCCTGCAAGAGTCAAAACCTATTGCTACTGTTAAGTCTCTTTTATTCTATTCTTGTTTTGGGGTTGTATGATTTTAAGAAACAGAAAACACTGAGTATTGCAATTCTTTTGTCTTTCCTTTTTCCTCTATCTTTTCTGTCTACAACCTTTTTGGGGAGTTCTAAGTGAATACATTGTAGTTGTTCTTAAAGAAACCAGAGATTTTGAAGATATATTGTTAGACATCCAACAATAAAATACAAGTGTACTCTAAAGCCTGATCACCACTCTGGGACTAAGATCTTTTAACCCTTTAAAGTCAAAGACAAGAAGTAAAGTATAACTGAATTGACAAAGCAATTTCATAGCCTAAGGATTACCTATTAAGAAAATGCTCTCTGCAGTCCCTAACTCCAAGTGACACATTTAAAAACCATTATTTATTTTTAAAATCGTTATATCCCCGACTTAACATTTTTTATAACTTGAAGTTTGTACCTTTTTACTTCCTTCACCCATTTTGCCCACCCTTGACCCCTGGCAACCATTAATCTGTCTCTGTGTCTATAAGCTTGGTAAAAACCATTATTTTAATATGTAATATATGTATATGGTAAATAAGATTCAGAAGGTGTCAAAAAGTATTTAATTTTTCTTCCCATCCCCGTCCCCCACTTCCTAGTTCTCTACAACCCAATTCCCAGAGGTAATCACTATGCTAATTTCTTGAATATCTTTTCCGAGATACTCTGTGTATATAAAGCATTACATCTATATATATCCTTTCTCTAAAATATATAATAGAAGTGCTTCACACTACACCTATTTTTCTGGCATTGCCTTTTTAACAGTATCTTTGTTTCACTATTTAAATTTGTTTTTAATTGTTGCAAAATAACATAACATAAAACTTACCATCTTAACCATTTTCAAGTATAGTGTTCATTAGTATTAAGTATATTCACATTGTTGTTCAACCGATCTCCAGAATTTTTTCATTTTGCAAAACTAAAACTCTAAAACCTATTAAAAAACTCTTCTTTTTCCCCTTTCACAGTCCCAAGTAAACCATTATTGAATTTGTGTTTCTGAGCTTGATTACTCTAGATACCTCATTATATACTACATAAATGGAATCATATAGTATTTGTCTTTTTGTGACTAGTTTTTATCACTTTGCATAATGTCCTCATGGTTCATCCATGTTGCAGTATATGTAAATTCTTCCTTCCCTTTTAAGACCCAATAGTATTCCATTGTATGTATATATTACATTTTGTTCATTCATTCACCTGTCAATGGACATTTATTTCACTATTTTTAATTACTGCATAATATTCTTTTTTTCTTTATTGATTTTAGAGAAAGAGGAAGGGGGAGGGAGAGAGAGAGAGAGAGAGAGAGAGAGAGAGAGAGACATGGATGAGAGAGAACACTGATTGGCCACCTCCTGCATGTCGAGAGAGAGAGAGAGAGAGAGAGAGAGAGAGAGAGAGAGAGAGAGAGAGAGAGAGACATGGATGAGAGAGAACACTGATTGGCCACCTCCTGCATGTCCCCCACTGGGGATTGGGCCCACAACCTGGGCATGTGCCCTGACCAGGAATCAAACCAGGGACCTCTTGGTGCATGGGTTGACGTTCAACCACTGAGCCACACTGGCGGGACTAATATTCTATTGTATAGATGTTCCACAATTCAGTTAATCAGTCTCCTATGAATAAACTCAGATTACTCGTATTCATTTTCTAATTTGCTGTAACATTACCACAAACTTAATGGCTTAAACAACACAAATTTATTCTAGTTCTAGAAGTCAGGAGTCCTAAAATCAAGGTAGTGGCAGACCCATGTTTGTTCTGGAAGCTTCAGGGGAGTATTATGGGCCAAATTATGTCCCTCCAGCCAAAATTTTATGTTTAAGTCCTAATTCCTAGCACCTCATAATGTGGCCGTATCTGGAGATATGGTCTTTGAAGAGGTAATTAAGTTAAAATGAGGTTATTAGGGTGGACCCTAATCCAATATGATTGGTGTCCTTATAAGAGGAGGAGATCAGTACACACATGTAGAGGAAAGACAATGTAAAGACAGAAGGAGAAGACAGACATCTACAAGCCAAGGAGAGAGGTCTCAGAAAAAAATCAACCATGTGAACACCTTGACCCCTACCTTCTAGCCTCCTGAATTGTGAGAAAATAAATTTCTGTGGGTTAAGACACTAATCTATGGTACTTGTTATGGCAACCCTAACAAACGAATACAGGAAGAATCATGTCCTTGCCTTTTCCAGCATCTAGAGGCTATCTGTGTTCCTTCCTCCATTTTTAAAGTCAGCAAAAGTAGGTTGAGTCTTTCTTATATCATATTAATCCAATCTCCTCTCTGTCTCCCTCTTCCACTTTTAAAAGGCCTTGTGATTACACTGCCCCTATTCAGATAACCTCCCTATTTGATTTTATTTAAAAAAATTTTTTTTTCTTTATTGACATTAGAGAGAGAGAAAGAGGGAGAGGGAGAGAGAGATAGAAACATCGATGAGAGAGAACATCAGTTGGCTGCCTCCTACCTGTCCCCCACTGGGGATCAGACCCACAACCTGGACATGTGCCCTGATTGGGAATCGAACCAGCAACCTGCTGGTGCATTGGTCGATGTTCAACCACCCCGGTCGCACTAATCTCCCTATTTTAAAGTCATCTGATTAGCAACTTTAATTCCATCCACAACTTCAGCCCCCCCTTACATAATGTAACATTAATATATTCACAGATTCATTGGGGACTAAGATAAGGTCTCTTTTGGGGGACCATTATTCTGCCTACCACCGAATCTTCTTTTCTTCAAGTTTTACTGAGGAAAACAATTGTTTTTTAGAATCCAATATTCATACCAGCAGAATGGGAAGCACAAAATTAAGGGACCAAGCAACACTAGACTATATACTTGCACATAAAGAGGTTCCTAAAAACTCAGTAGTAGCAGTAGAATGTTTGAAATTGCTTTTTCTGGAGAGATGATGAATTGGATTCGATCCAACCAGTATTTCACATAGGCCTCTTTGTAATCAATGGTACAGATCTGTCAGATAATCGGCTACTGTTAAGAATATAATCTATTACACTAAAGGACAACAATAATTAGATTGAGTCAACTTGAAATTTAAATCAAGATCAATTGGTGGTTCCTTCTTCTAGGCATCCACAGTTCCTTGCACATATATTTTCTAACTCTTATCTCACTCTATTGTAATTATGTCTATATATATTGTTTCTCCCTCTTTAGACTGTGAGCTTCTCAACTTGTATCTCTAGGGCTTGGCACACAGAACATATTCAATAAATGTTCATTGAATAAGTGACTTAGCATTAGTTGTTTCAATTC